TCCTTCATTCCTAGGCACGCCCTCAACCATGTACCAAAGGTTCAGTCACGAGGTCACCGTCTCGTGTCCTCGGGGTCCATGTAAGCATTTTACGTCATAAAAACAGACTCTGTACCTTTGCAGAGGCTGCTGTTTAACCACATGGGAGACGGAGCTTTGCCACGCAGCGACCCCAACCTCTCCGCCCCTTGTGTATGTTGCCAAACCTTCAAAAATACACATTGCGTCATAAAAACAGACTCTGTACCTTTCCAGAGGCTGCTGTTTAACCACATGGGAGACGGGGCCTTGCCACGCAGCGACCCCAACCTCTCCGCCCCCGAGAAAGGTAGGTGAAGCCGCTCCCTCGTCGTCCTGTGTGCGTGGGGTTCGTTTGTCCTCATCTTCTCCAGTCCCGTGTGTCTGTGGACGGCCTCCCTCCAGGTCGCTAGTGCTCCTGGCTCACTTGCTCTGTAGGGGGTAAATGAAAGTCACTCACGATGCAAGCTTTAAAAACAGTCCGGTAAGATTGAACAGCGGAATGTGAGCAGCTCAGGAACACCTCTGTTAAATGGCCTTTGGTGTCAGCGAGGCACCCGGGCACTGCGCCCTGAGGCAGTGATGCCAGTCAGGCTCCTAGCTCAGGACAGTGAAAGTCGCACCTCCCAGTCGGGTCCCTGGGCCCACCCGCTGTCCCCCTGACAAAGCTTGTTCTGCCAGCTCATCTGTTGTTTGTGGTGACTCAGAAACTATTTAAGAATTACAATCCAGCGCCCAATGGAGTGTGCCTCAAGGTCACACACACAAAAAAGAAACACGGGCATTGCGGTTAACAGCCAGTTAGCATCGGCCGTGGGACAGGGCAGAGGACAGAGAGCAGATTAAACGAGACCCCCTCTGCGCAGGGGCGGGGCCTGCAGCAAGCATCATTCGGGGTCACCCTCAAAACACCAGCCGTCCCACAACGGGAGGCACGAGCGGTGTCCCCGTGGAGCGCACGTCAGTCGCCCATTGGGAGCTGGACCGCACGGTCCTCTGAGCATCTCACTCGGCGCTGAAACTCCCCCGGGGCATCAGTAGTGAGGCCGCAGCCAGAACTACTTTAAAACACTCATTTCGCTTGAACATTACAAGTCCAATATTGATCTCTGACTGGAGAAATTAGGAATACGGTATATTTCTCATCCCCTCTACCAAAGACAACCACAAAGCGAATTTAATAGGAACAGAGAAAAAGTATTTTAAAAGTGGTCGTTTCAGCCCATTAAATGAGCAGTGAAGATGGTAAAAACGTTGAGCCGCCAGACGTGCCCAGCAGGTGGCAGTGTGTGCACAGGGAGCCCGCGAGGAACTGTCAGGCTGGCTCTGAACCTCCCTGCAGAGCAGCTGCTGATAACCTGTCTTGCTCGTTCCTCATAGGACTGCTCCATATTTCTGCATCTCACTGAAGCATGCAACAGGCAAATTACAAAACAGGAACGATGCTGTCAGCACTCTAAATTATTTGTTTTAGGACATACTTCAGTATAATGCACTGATTTCAGGAACGAGGGTCCTTTTCTCAAAGAGTTGGTCAGCAGGCCGATGTGGCCGTTGCGGCCCCATAATTCCGCCAAACAGTTGTACCCTTAGCATGTCATTGCCTTCCCCCCTTAGGAGGGCCACTTATCCAGAAATTTCCACAAAAAACTAAGTTTTAAAATAGTCTAGTGCCTGCCTCTTCCAGCCGTTACGCAGCACGTAAACACGTCGGTAATTCTCAGCAAGTTTCTGCTCTAAGGGTAGAGACGTGTAGTTCTGCTCGAGAGAAGCAAACAGACGTGGTATCACCCAATTCAGTGTCAACCGTAATGCGAGGCAGCCGTCAGATGAAGGCTGAGTGTTTAGGAGCCTTCCTGGGTGTTTCTACTCCAGCCGCCCTTTTCATTCTGGATCATTCTGACTTTCTTCTAACGTCTCGAGAGTCCCAAGGGCAAAGTGGGCCGTGTGATTTCAGCTGTGTTGTTGCCTTCCAGCGGCGAACCCCACCCCTAGCAGCTGGAGCCTGGACAGTGGGAAGGAAGCCAAGAACATGTCGGACAGTGGGAAGCTTATCTCTCCCCCTGTCCCTCCAAGACCCACTGGTGGGTATTTGAAGCATTCGGAAATCACTTGCACAAAATAACTTTTACTGACTCCTCCAACTCGTGACGTCCTCAGAGAAAGGTGGGCTGAGGGAAAGCCTCGGAGCTGCACGACGGGTTTACCGTGGCCGCTCTCGGCTGGACTTCGGTCACATGAAACCAGACAGGGCCACCCCCGGTCCTGGCCCCCTGACCCCGCTGAGCCTCTAGCGTTCTCTCTGCCCTTGGCCTTCACCACCTCGTCCTCCTTGGCCTCTGCCGACCCAGCCACGTTCTTCCATCCTCCTGCGAGCCGATGCCAAGGCTCCAGGCTGCCCCCAAACAGGACTCGACCCCTGTCATGGGGATGGGCTTCGGACAAGCCGGCCTCTCATCCCCGGCCGTCTGCCGCCTCCAGAGCCTGCCTTCCGGTCGGCTTTGTCAAGGGACTGACTTAGACTGTGAGAACCACTGAAACTTATTTTTGAGAAATTTTTTGGTGAGTTTATAGCAATATCAGGCCCCTTTTCCTCCCGAACGAGCCACTGACTCGGTGCAGCCGTTAAGAGGGGCCCACCTGCTCCGCTGACTGCCTGTCCTGGTTGGGGGGAGGGTCTAAAGCACCTGTGCACGTCTAGAGTAGCTTTGAAGCTTTACAAATACAACTGGCCCAGCGGTAAGAGAAAACACACTGTTTCCTTCATGCATTTGCCAGGGCCGGTCAAATTTCACTTGCTGTATTTTAGCACCTTATTTTTTTGTTTTTCCCTCTAAGAAAATAGAAATGACTTTCTCTTTTTTTTTTTTTTAGGTGAGGCAACCCTCGGTTGACCTCACAGATCGCAAGGGCCTTGTCAGCTTACAATCCCTCATTTTTGTATTTTTTACGCCTACAGCACCTGGTCTTCCTCCGTGGTCTCCCATCCAAGTATTAACCAGGCCCGACCCTGCTTAGCTTCCGAGAGCAGACGGGATCGGGCGTGTTCAGGGTGGCGTGGCCGTAGACTGACTTTCTCTCTTTTTAAAATGAACTGTGCTGCCCAATCTCTTCTCTCCTTGCTGGAGCCCAGAGTCACCAATGGGTTTGAAAGGCCTGAGAGGTCTTTACACAGAGCAAGAAATAACTGGGCTTCATCGACAGTCCACATTAGCATATCCTTGTGACCGGGGGCGGTTGACACTCACGACCCAGGTAATTTGTGCTTCGTTCATGGTGTGCACACACACCTTCGGGCAGGCTCCGGTTTAAACCTGGCTGTGCTGCTGACGTTGGGAACTTGAATTTTCTAAGGACAGTGACCATGCTGATAGATAGGCCCCTGACCCATTCAGACTTGTCGACAAGGAGACCGGTAGAGCTATTTTAGGTCTCGGTAGGAGAACGCCTTTCTAGAGCGACACCTGTGACCATGCAGCGGGTGGAGCCCACTTGGTGAACCCCTGACTCAGGAGGAGTGGGGTCCCAGACAGTGAACCCCTGACTCAGGAGGAGGGGCGTCCCAGGGCATAGTGAGCCTTGACGTCTGCCACAGTGGTGGCAG